CGGGAGGGAGGGAGAGAGAGAGAGAGAGAGAGAGAGAGAGAGAGAGAGAGAGAGAGAGAGAGAGAGAGAGAGAGAGAGGTGGCAGGACAAAACCCCTCCCTCTCCGCAGCACGAAGGGGGTCCAGCGTTCCGGGAACGCCGAAACCCCTTGGTGCTGTGGCCATCGAGGGGGCGGAACGCACCCCATTCCTCCCTCACAACATCAAGGTGTTGCGGCCATCGAGGGGGCGGGACGGACCCCCTTCCTCCCCCGCAGCACGAAGGTGCCGTGGCCACCGAGGGGGCGGGGCGGACCCCCTCCTCCCCCGCAGCAAGAAGGGGGCCCGACGTTCCGGGAACGCCGGACCCCCTTGGTGATGCGGGCAGCGAGGGTGTGGGACGAACCACTTTCCTTGCCCCCAGCACCAAGGTGCTGTGGGCATAGAGGGGGTGGGACGGACCCCCTTCATCCCCCGCAGCACCAAAGGGGCCCGGCGTTCCCAGAACGCCGGACCCCCTTGCCGGTGCGGGCATCGAGGGGGTGGGATGGAAACCCTCCTCCCCCGCAGCACCTAGGCCCCTTAACGCTGCGGGCACCGAGGGCGTGGGACGGACCGCGCTCCTCCCCCGCAGCACCCAGGGGGTCGTTCCGGGAACGCCGGACCCCCTTGGTGCTGCAGGCATCGAGGGGGTGGGACGGACCCCCTCCCTCCCCCGCAGCACCTAGGGGGTGGGACGGACCCCCTTGGTGCTACGGGCATCGAGGGGGAGGGACGGACCCCTTCCTCCCCCGCAGCACCTAGGGGGTCTGGCGTTCCGGGAACGCCGGACCCCCTTGGCGCTGCTGGCACCGAGGGCGTGGGACGGACCGCGCTCCTCCCTCGCAACACCCAGGGGGTCCGGCGAACGCCGGACCCCCTTGGTGCTGCGGGCATCGAGGGGGTGGGACGGACCCGCTTCATCCCCCGCAGCACCAAAGGGGTCCGACGTTCCATGAGCGCCGGACCCCTTTAGTACTGCGGCATCGAGGGGGTCCGTCCCACCCCCTTCTTCTCCGAAAAAAACGGGCTTTAGAGAGAGAGAGAGAGAGAGAGAGAGAGAGAAAGAGAGAGAGAGAGAGAGAGAGAGAGAGAGAGAGAGAGAGAGAGAGAGAGAGAGAGTCCCGGGATCGAGAGCTTTTTTGAATGACATACTCGAAAAGGTCTTGCTGGCAATACATTCCGAAAAGATTATCATATGTGAGAGAGAGAGAGAGAGAGAGAGAGAGAGAGAGAGAGAGAGAGCGTTTTTTTAAAGACATACATGTGAGGAAGGTCATGCTCACATTGCATTCCGAGAAGTTTATGATATGAGAGAGAGAGAGAGAGAGAGAGAGAGAGAGAGAGAGAGAAAGAGAGAGAGAGAGAGAGAGAAAAAACTTTTTTTGAATGACATACTCGAAAAAGGTCATGCTCACATTACATTCCGAGAATGTTATGATGTGTGTGTGTGTGTGTGTGTGTGTGTGTG